TTTCTATTCCTGCCTTCTCCTACTGACATTTTTCCTTGTCTTCCACTAATTAACCAAGACTCAGCAATGCTTCAGAATAGGAACTTGATGGTGGGGCCTTGGGGAAGTTTCCTGGGGAAGCCACGTCCTCCCTACACTAAGAGGTAGAGCTGGTAGGTTCTCATGGAATAAGATGTAAATAAAGCATGTGTGCATAGGTATAGAGGTATATTGTCCACCCCAAAATGTAAATCATGCATTGTCCATGGGGGCAACAGTATCCCAAGGGGGTGAACATTTGTGAAGAAAGACTAAGGACATCTTACTATTCTATGCATAAAGCACACATATGTTTACAATGTGCAACAATAGGTACACAGTATATCTGTAGTATTACAATTCCATGGGTGTGGAGTGCTCACTGAGCAAGTGTAAAGCCCTGAGTTTGCTCACCAGCACCAAAAGAGAATTTTTAAAGTAAATAAATAAAACTTCATGGGAGGATTTAAAAGGGAGAGACCCAAAAGTTTCTGGGAGGTAAATGAAAGGGGGAAAAATATTGAAAACCCTCTATCACCTTCAGGTAAGAACAATGATTTAGGCTGTTGTCTGTAGTATTTTCTAAATTGTCTTATAACATTTAAAATATAATTCACTATGTAATAATGAATAAAAGAAGTAGAAAAAGATGCTCTCCAAGACATGAATACCTTCTCTTAGGATACATTTAAATATTTAACATCAGTATTATTTCTCTTTGATTAGCAGTCTACTATTTTGCCCAGTGGTGCAATACCATAGGAAAAGTAATATCAACATAGAGATTCAACTGTGTTTTATCAATAAATGATCAGGACAAAGCATGGAGTACTGCACTCAGAGAGCTCATCACTCTCCTGACATTGTTTCCAGTAGAGTCCCTAAGGAGAAGAAAGTTTGGCTTATGTTTATATAAAAACAAAGAAGAGGGGAAAACTCATGTTAGCATTGGCTTTAGCTCTCACATTTTAAAAAAAAGCAGATTTAATATACATCAAGCATGGTTAGCTCATAGTTCCGTGAAAGTTGATGCAATTGCTAGAAATGTTGAAAGGTGCCACCTGCCTCTATTCTTATCCCAGCCCCTCCTAAGTCAGTAGCCCTGGCAAGGATTCAACAGAGCCTCATTCCATTGCCTTTGGCAAGCACCACTCCCAGGCTGGAAACATTCAAACAGAACTGCGAAATGAATCAGTCTGGGTTAATTTCACTACCTGGGCATCCCCAAGGGCACGTGCCTGCTGGTGGACTCCCCGTTTCAGCACTGATCGCAACAGGCGCCATAGGACTGAAGATGACAGAAGACACACGCTACCTACAATCCAGATGTCTTTTCTTCTAAGTGTTGAGTCCATTTTCTAGGAGCAGATGTGAAGCCCCTGGACTTAAAGGCACCTTCCCTGCCCTGGTCTATCACAACCACTTCCCAGGCACTGCCGATCTGAGGAGTGGGCATTACGAATTGTAGACGTTTCTTGCAGAGTCCTGCAGTGGGTGTCTCCGGTTACACGATCAACAAATATTCTGCTTCTTTAAAAGGAAAAATATGATCGTCTTGTGTGACGGATCTGAAACAGGTGCGGGGACTAAGAGAGACCCGCTGGCCATAATTTAACACTAGTGCGCATGCGTTTGATACCAGTTCAAGGACTAGTAGCTGACTGTAACTGGAATCAGCCGCTAAGATTGGACCCCAGCCAGCCGGGAGCTTTCTCCTGCCCATGCAGGGTAAGGAGTAAAGCATGGGGGGTGGAGAAATGCAATTCCAAAAATCACAAAATCTCCACCTTCGGCCATGCTATTTTGAGACCTAAAAACAATTTCATCACAGTTGGTCAGGAAATGCCATTTGGTACTAAATCCACCAACTGCGAGAGAGAGAGAGAGAGAGAGAGAGAGAAACATTTTGTTTTATTCACTCTCTGAATCCTTTGTACCAGGCATTTAAACATTCCAGAGCGAGGCTATAAGGTCGTACTTGTGTGCAGGCCATTCTTATCTTTCTATCCCATAGTTGGTTTATGGAAGAATTCAAATTTGATTGTGAAAAAGAAGTATTCCTTACTAAGGAAGATGCTTTCTCCCTTATGCTAAATTTAAAGTTTTATGATATACATATCAAACTGTGACATTAAAGAAAACTAACAGAGACACATAAAACCTTATTCTGGCCAGAGCACTCAGGCACCAACATAGGCTAACAATTGTGAAGATATCTTCATGTTTAGTTTACCAACAACTAATTTATGAAAAAGTTGTTATGAAGACAGTAGAATTAACTCTGTATTTCTGATTTCTTATTTATCTATACTTTGAATAGAATTTTTTAGTGAATTTGAATTGAATTACTGACTTTAAACATGCAGACACAATCTAAAACTAGTACTCATAGATAACACACATAGCTTTATTTTAGCATTTTAGTTACAAGAGAGAATAATATAGTGAAATAAATTTGCCAGCTTATAAAAAGTAGATTCAAATGATATACATGACCAAAGGGAACAAATTAGCTAAACTTGACAATAGTTCTTTTTTATGTATTTTTATTGTTTTTAGAAGGTGATGTACAGTGGGGTTACTGTTTGATAAGTCAGGAAATGAGTATGTTTCCTTTTGGACAATGTTATCCCTTCCACAAAGGAAGACTTTTAAGCACGAATCAAGTGTCAAGTTCAGAAATAACCTACATGGAAGTCCTATAAGCAAAGTTATAGACCAGTGGTCCATGAGGACATATTTCTGCAAAAGGATTAACTATATTCTAGTGTTCCTCAGCTTTTATACCAACCATGCCTTTTTGGTGGAGGATAGAAAAAGCTAGGGAAATCTAGGTGACAAAGAGGTAGTCATAGATCACTTGGGTATAAAAGAAAACAAGAATATGGACTAGTAGAGTGTGTGCCTAATGTGCATGAGGCCCTGCGTTCCATTCCAAGCACCAAATAAATTCATAAATAAATAAATTTCAACCCTGACAACATACCCTAGAATCACACACAAGTGTGAGCATCTTAAAAGACTGAGATTTGAGGATCCAAGTTCAAATCCAGCCCAGGAAGAAAAGTCCAGGAGACTATGATCCAGTTAACTAGAAAAAAGCCAGAAGCAGAGGTATGGCTCAAGTGGTTGAGCACCAACCTTGAGCTAAAAAGCTAAGCAAGAGCACCATGGCCTTGAATTCAAGCCCTAGCACATGGAGATAAGAGTCTCACAGACTTTCCTGCCCAAGCTGGCTTTGAACTTTAATCTCAGCCTTCTGAGTACCTAGGATTATAGGGATGAGCCACCAGTGCCCGGCTTGTATGTTCCTTTGAAGGAGTGCTATGGAGACCCTCAAGAATGGGAAGGCATAACTATATGAGGATATATAAAGTAATTTTGGAAGGGAAACCACAGATAAGGGTCAGGGTGGACAACTCCACAAAAATCACAGATATGGGGTGCTTCTGGTGGTTGTAAGGATTTAATGCTGTATCATTTTGAGCCAGGGTTAAAGAAGAGATCACAACCATGGTATAGAAGAGAGAAGACCAGTGTATGAGGGAGAGAAATTCAGCTGATGCTTCATTCTTGAAGGCAGGTCACTAAGCATTGTGACCATTACTCCCTATCCAGGCTTCTTGCTGAGGTGGGGTTTATGTCATCCTCCAATGTTTTTTGTTTTTTTTTTTTGGTGGGTCGTGGGGCTTGAACTCTGGGCTTGGGCGTTGTTCCTCCAACGTTTTTAACTTAACTTCAGAGCATGGAAAAAGAGAAAAGATGGAAGTATAACTTGGGGGTAGGTGTGGGGGTATATTTGAGATAAAAATGAGGGAGGGGGTAACAAGTTCAGCAAGAAATGTACGCACTACCTTACATATGTAACTGTAATCCCTCTGTACATCACCTTGACAATAAAATTAAATTTAAAAAATGGAAGCATTTCATCATGATGAACGGAATAGCTACTTTTAATAAAAACTTACAATTCTACATTATGTATAGAAATCAAGTGATTTTTAAAAGCATCTTTTGGAATATAACAATGAGAAAAGTCATTAGAAAACAGTTAAAAAGGAAAGTGAGAAAAAGTAGAAGAAAATTTAAATTATACAATTATTTTCTAAAGTTTTTGGAAGAATATGTAATATTTAATCAATCTGACAAAGAAAAACAGAAGAAAGCTAAAAATCAACCCAGTGGGAGAAAATTAATAAAATAGAAAACTAAAGATCAAGAAAAGAAAAAGAATCTGAGTTTTACCAAACAGTTTTTAATAATCATAAGTGATTACACTTGTTTATAATTGTTCTGCTCTTAGGACTTGGGAGTAGTCACTTCTAGAGGGAATCTGTATTTTATGCTTCTAGAACAAAGCTTGGACGTCCCCAGAGTGGCTGAAGTACAAAGAAAATTCCTTTCAGTGCACTCAGAGAATGTTTCTACTATTAGCAGTGCTAATCTTCTCAGAGAGTGAAGGGATAAAAGAGACAGAAGAATGAAGGGAGAAAGTTGACAAGGGTTTTTGTTGATTTGTTTTAAATATCCCTAGAGAGAAAATAAGTGGTATTGCAAAGATTTACTGCAGCCCCAGCAGAAGATGGAGACTCATTAATCCTGCTCTGTCTACATACCTGAAGACATCTGAGCTGTTGGAATGGTTTTCTCACCCACTCATTGCCAGACCCACTGTCTGCCCTGCACCCACAGATTTTGGCTGCACAGAAAAGAGAAGAGCTCAGAGTAGCAGACACATGTACCTAGCCATTTGCCACATGGCCAGAGAGAGACAGGAAAATTTACTGCTGACACCTCTGGACCTTCTCCATTTACAAGCAAGAAACTGAATGGAACATATGCTACTTCTTTCTTATTCCTTCCCACCCTCCACACAGTATCAAATGCAGCTAGGAGGCCCAGGTTACAAAAAGATAGAGTGGGGACTCGGGACATGGTCCTTGTGGTAGAGAACCAGTCATGAACAGGCAAAGTAGACTTACTTTTTTGAAGGTCTTTGCAGACTCCATATTCTCAATTCTTCCCATGAAAATGTCCTAAAAATAGATAACTTCCAATGTAATTGATTTCTGATATTGCAGAACAGTAGGTAAACATGACAATAATTCTTCCTAAAAATGTCTATGGTCCAACTTACCACTACTCATTCTTTACCTACTTTTAATGATTATGTCACAGAACTTGTAAAAAAAATTGCACTTGAAAGAATGATGAAATCCATAAAAACTGCTACAATTAGTTGATGACTTCAGAGTCATACAAAGCTATACAAGAATGTTTTTTTGTTTCCCATATCCTACAGAGATTCATGAACAGAAAATAAAATCCTTCTCTTTATTTGTTTGTACTAGTAAGGGCCCTAACAGAAAAGTCATTCATGTTTCACCTAAATGTTTCCTATGGAAATTTAGTTTTGTTCTCTATTAAATGAGGTATTAACTGAGCCAGATATGGTAGAATATATGTGTAGTTCCAGCTACTAGGAAGGCTGAGAAGGAGGATCTCTTGAGATCAAAGGTTCAATCCCAGCTTGAGCAGCATAGTAAAACTTCATGGATATAGATAAATATGTATATGCATGTATAGACTCGAAGGGAAAGCACAAGTCTCCGGAAAAAACTTACTCAATCTCTATCTTCTCTCTACGACATTCCATTATTCTTTACTCCTTATAAAATACGGCTAGGAATTTTATGCAAAACATCTCTGTGTCATGGTTTTTGTGTTGCTGCAAATGCCCTTTCTACCCGAATAGTGGTTTGGAGAACAATAGTTAGATTTTTTTTATAAAGTCAGCAGGACCTGATCTCAAAAATAAAATTAAAACAGAAGGGCTTAGGATAGATCCTCAAGTGATAGAGCCTTGCTTACCAAAGTCAACTGGTGGCTTTGCCTACCAGATTCTATCCTCAATACCATAAATAAAAAAAGCAAAACAAAACAAAAACGATTGCATATGCCAGAACAAAGGCAAGGGCAAAAACGCCATGAGGCTGGTGCTGGGCTTCAATGAATGATACATGGCAATTGATTAAGGTAAGGCAGAAAAATGACTTGGTGCCACTGTTGCTGCTGGCTAACATTTCATAAAGTCTTATCACGGGGCTGGGTTCAAATTCAATCAAACTTAGAGTATGTGTTTAGTATGCTCAAGACCTTGGGTTTAATCTCCAGCACCATCCTCTTAAAAAAAGATAAAAAGAAAAAATGCTTACTATGGTGTTAGATGTAAAGCCAACTGATGAAACTAGTAACTTCATTTTGTAGCTGAATTCTGTTGTTTCAGGTTACTACTTAACCTTGCTTTTATCTTTTTCAGACCCTGCTTGGAACACATCCTGAAAAACCACAGTACCCAGAATCTTAGGACACCCCTTCTACCATCTTTCAAAGGGGCCAAAGACCACTTGTTCCTATCCCCATCTCACAAGTTAATTGTCCTGCAGGCCAGTGCTGTTTATGGTCTCTCCTCTATTGCAAAGTTAATAAGTCTTTGCATTCTTGTTTGCCACTGTGACTCACAGCCTGAGCACCTGTTAAAACCCTCAGACCTAACAATAAGTACCATGCTGAGTGCTTTGGACATGTCACGACATTTAATTTTCTCAACAGCTTTCACTTCATTGTTCAGATCATGAAACTCCTTGGTTGAATTTAGTAACATACCAAAGAACACAGAACATGCAGATGACATCGAGTTCAGGGCACTTGTTCTTCCCAGTGTAAGACACAGGGCTTCATAGCCATGCTATCACAAGTCCTGTGAGTCCCTTCTTTGGCCTTCACTATCAGAACTATTCTTCATGAGCTCACAGTCTTCAGGAAAATAGATACCTTCTCTTTCTCTCTGTCTCTTTGTGTGT